GTTTCTATTTTCCACTTTCAGTTCTAACGACATATCTGGCTTCCTTTAAATCCAAGTTATCCTCTGATCCAATTGTGAATGTTCTTTCAGCTTGTCTTTGATATCAATCTACTGCCATATTTTTCATAACAAAGTCGCAAATCAATCAGACGGAGCTCCTGGGTTAAACGGATGGCACATTTATTAAGACTCACTAGAAATGTCTTTATTAACATTAGAAATTCTGGCTAATTAGTATTTTTTAAGAGTATAAACGATGTGACTATATTTCATCTGCCTAAATGTTTTCTACTGTGAGAGTCTTGCTAAGGTTCTATAGGTCAAAGTCTCAACATCAGCTAAATATGTGACTGTACTTTCTCCTACTTAGTATTATGGAATGGAATCTTAAGTATGAAAGATGTCTTGTATAGTATGTCAAAATGTTGAGTAATATCATTTCAGTCTAAACACAGAAATGAAAAAAAAAGGCAGATGATTTCCCTTTTGCTGTAATTGACTTTGGGATGCATGTCATGAACAGCACTATACAAAAGCAATTTTCATTGAGTGACTGACTGATTGAGGCAAAGGGTGAATGTTCTTTCAGTTTACGTCCCTACTGAAGTATGATTCTTATAGCTCCTGACAGCTCATCACAACCTGTAGTTAAATACCGTGTTAGCAATAAATAAATAAATAAATAAAATTTAAAAGGAGAGAGAGGGTGAGAAAGAAAATAATAGTTAGAACTTTGGGTTTTTATTACAGCTGATTTGAGCCAAACAGATAAATAGATGAGGGTGAGATAAATTTAAACCTAACTGTTCTAGTTCTTCCATGCAATATATTTAGATTTTAGAGACTATAATTGTTAAAAATACCTTGTTAATAAGTAATTGCATAATTTAATCAGTAATACTGACCATCAAACAGTTCTTGTTCTACTTCTGTGGAAGGTCTACTCTTTCTAGAGCAATTAGTTTTAACTGAAATTCTGTTTAGAGAAGTATTCCCATCAGTGTCCTATTCTTACAATTTCAAAAAGAATTAGTTACATCTCTGAAATGCTCCACCAATTCTATAAAACACACTCCTTCATTTGCCTAATTTGGGCACATCTTTCACTCTGTGATATAACTAAATGAATACTGATCTAAGGGGTTATAGATGCGACATGACGAGTGATGAAACAAAAAATTTCACATAGAAATGTTATCTTCCAAATTACTGTAGCAGATCAGTGTCTAATCTGCTACTAATCAGTAGTCATTAGTAATCTGATCACTGTTATTGTTGATCTTTTCTTAAAAATTTTACTTTATCCTCCTAATGACATAAAAACATTTGGGAACCCCCCCCCAATTTATGTAAACTGGGTTTTTCTCAATTGTTAGGTCAAAGCAATGCTGGTAAGGCAATAATTCTTACTTGAAACAGATTTACTTAATTACAGTAATCATCAAATGGAGTAAATTTTAATGCTTGCAAAGTTAGATCTGTTTGCAAAATATGGAAGATGGTTTATTTGGAGAATATTTTTAAAAACACTGAAGATCTAAAGCCACACAGCAGGAAATAATAAACACGTTTCCAGGTGAGAGGCACTTAAAATGTCTTTCCTAAGTTGCTGCATACAAATGAAAAGGCTTGTAAGGATGTTGGAAAATGCTTTATGTAGGTTCATGCTTCATTTACTATGAAAGCTCGAGGAGATAACTTTTGCAATTTGGAATTGACACTGTTCATGCAATTATGCTTCAAGCAAAATATGTCCAGGTTGTGGGGGAAAAACAGTTCAAATTAGTAAATAGTGGTATCATTTACATCAGTTTAGTTTAAAGAGCTGACAAACCCTCTCTAAACTCCAAGCACAATTAGTCATTAGGGTCTAGTTTTTCAGCACTGTTAAGCAATTTGTAACCCATTCCTTTTAATAGGGTTAGGCATTACTTAACCGACACAGATGCCTTGGAAACTGAAACCTCAAGTTATGAAGCAGTAACCTTGTTCATTACCTTCTGTGATAGACAAATCATCTATAAAAACATTGTTTAATAGGCAACCAATGAATAATCAATGGCTCACTTTTCATCTCAGTGTGAAAATGAGAATAATCTAATACAAAGTCCCGCTGGTAAGAGGCTGAATCTTGGGTCTGCTGCTCTTCAAGGGCTGATTTATAAGGTTTTGGAAAGCTGATGTAAACAGATGATCAATGGGACCCATCCCTGCTCATAATAACCCCCAACTGGCCCACTCCCTCTTTTCCAAGTCCATCCCTTCAGGCTATTAGCTCTGTCCAGCTAATTCTTCCCACTATTCCTGCCTACTGCTTTTACTCTGACCATCCGTTCAGTCCAGCCGACTCAGAAGTAATTTTATACGCAGCAGAGAGCGGGTGGAATTGATTTTTCACTCAGCGCTCAGTTCCCATCTGAATAATTATCAATTTTACTGCCTCATAAAGGGAAGAGTCAAAATTTCAAATCAATTCAAAAGAGCTTTTGAGACGACAGAAACTGTGCATAACAATAGAGGTCAAAGTTGTGAGTGACCTAAGGAGATGATGTCAGATATTACTATACCCAATAGTTGACATCAGAGGCACTCAAGATGATATAACCTAGTGCTAATGCAAATCATATTTATGCTGACTACCAGAGACCAGTCATTAATATTTAAAATGCTATCTGAAAGCCTACATTCCAAATAAATAGAATGTATTCCACTGTTAATAAAGATGTATCACTACTTAGTCATATGCTATAAAGTGGAGGATTACCAAGTATTATTAACACACAGAAATTACTTAAACCACACATGTGTGGTAATTCTGAGTAAATACAAACTTGATTGTCTCCTGTACAACCATGTTACTTGCTCAGAATAATCTGATGGTATTTTTGTTTAGGACCACAGCCTATTAATTTTTGCTAAAATTTTCTACCAACTTAAAAGTTTCTGCCAAAGTGTATGGGACAATACATGATTATGGCTGAGTGCTGACAGGAATGATCTGGTGGTGGACTTGTCCCCTTGCTATGGTGGGCTGGGGATTGGGTTTGATTCCCAGCCAATCCATGGATATTTATTTTCTTCAGTAGCTACATGCTCTAAGTCAGTGGTTCTCAACCTTCTCCATGTAAAACACAAGAGGACTATGACACTCTCCCAACAGTGCCAGTGACTACTGCATTTAGGTGGGAGTGGGGAGGAGGAAAGGTGCACTCAAATCTTGATAGAATGAATATTTTGAAAAGGCATTCCAGGTGAATTTAAGATGTTAAGAATCAATGGTGTGAGTAGTAAGGACCTAGACTTTTGAGCTAAACAGACCTTGAGGGCCGGCCCAGTGGTGCACTGCTACAGTGCGCCGCTTGGGAAGCGTGGCGGCGCTCCCGCCGAGGGTTCGGATCCCACATACAGACCGGCCGCTCACTGGCTGAGCGCGGTGCGGGCGCAACACCGAGGGTCGCGATCCCGTTGCCGGTCCCGGTCCGGTACGGGTGCGACACTGAGGGTTGCGATCCGTTGCCGGTCACGAAAAAAGACAAAAAGGGAAAAAAAAACAGACCTTGATTCGACTCCCAACTCTATCACTTTCCAGTTGATTTCTCTATGCCTCAATTTATTCACCTGTACAATGCAGATGATAATATCCACATTTCAAAGTTGTGGGATCTAAAGGAGAAGATTGCTCTGATAGTCCTCCCTTTCTTTGTCACTCTCTGTCATCACTGTATTAATCAAATTATCAAATAACTCATTAGTTAGTTACCTGTCTCTTTGTCTTACATGACAGGAAACTTTTTAAGAAGAGATTTTAAGTCTTATGAGTCTTAATGGTTCTTGAACCTTGCATGTAATAAATCCTCAATAAATATGAGTTACCCTCCCCTTCCCTTTCCTACCAACATATCGTAACACTTCCAGGGTCATACCAAATAGCTATAGACCTACAGCCTTTTGCCTAGTTACATAAAATCTGAATTACAAACATCCCTCCGTCGCTCATCCCCCCCCCCACCAAAAATAACTGGTTAACTGAAACAGCACTGCAAATAAAGTTTACATAATTTCATTTAAATATTAGCAAGAAATAACAGCCAGGAAGGAAATGTCTTCCATAGTGGTCCCATTCTATTTTCATCATCTTTTTACTTAACATTGACATTTTCTGCTGCTTGCAGGTAACTTATTTGCTCGCTAATGACCATGCAGCAAGATACTGTTGAAGTGCTTACATTTGCAAATCACAGACTATTAAGGATATAATTTGGCAAAAGAAAGCAACTAAAAATAGTGTGAAGAGATAATTTTCCAAATTTAGTGGAATTAGAAAATATCATAGTGATAATATTGCTATAAAAATGGTATTCTCTTTGAAATATTTCTGGCATGTATATTCATTTTTTATGCATGCTGTTACTGTGATTTGCAGAAGTGAGTTTTTAAAAACAGTATTAAACTTGGACCTAACCCGTATTAGCCAGTTAGAAAATACATCTGATAATAAAGAAATTGTGGTTTTATTACTTATTAGTTAAAAGCTCTTGGGAATATTACCTATCTACCTAAACCATGATTTCTCATCTTAAAATAGGAAAAATACCAATTATAAATATGGAAAGCTCCTAGCTAATTGCTTGGCACAGACTAGGAAGAAGGCCAAGAAAATGGTACCAGAGTAATTACAAAGCAAACTTAAGATGACATTATCAGATGCTCCAGGAAAGAAATCAGAGACTGACTGTTTCTAGTTCAAGTTACCTATTTTTCTAAAGCCTCTGAAAGAACTATCCTTGTTTCGAATTCTGGCTTCACTGAGGTGAGATAAATGACATAGGGATTTCCTGAGTGTGGGTAATCCTGAGGCCAGTGCACAATCCCACTTTCAGGGAAAATATTCCTAGGGAATAACTGGTAAAGAGATTTAGCAAGATCAGTTGCTTTAAAAAGGTGAAATTCAAGGACTAGGTAGTTTCTTAAGCTGGTGGTGACCAACCACCATTAGTTACCTGCTGCAGGACATCTGGGTTTTGCTGCATAAAATGTAATAGTCTCTGACCAGCCTGGGTAGCCTCTCTGCTTCGAAGTGGCTTCTTGCCCTCTTTTGCTATGTGCTTGAAGAGGTAGGTGACAATGTAGTCTAAACTGGTACAGCAACTGGAGGAGACAATTGTATCTGTAGAAACAATAAATGAGAATTCATTCGCTTACTGAAATGTTTGCTTCATTTGATTGTAATGTCTCCATTAAAAAAGAATTACTTTCTGGTTTTAAAGCACTTTTACCAAACTGCAAGTTCCCTGAGGGCAGGGATTTTGCCTTATCTCTTTAAACCCGATGCCTAATCCAGGGACTGGCATCGACATGCTAGTAAGTAGATGATTCCTGGGTTGAATCTGGTCAGAATTTTCCATTTGTGACCTTAACGACCTCTGTTCAATTCAAGTGACTGTTTATTCGAAGTATCTACTTAGTGCAAAGAGCTCTGTTTTAAGGGGAACAGGGGCCCAACCCCCACCCTGGTGTCAAGGAGCTCATAGCTTAGTATACACATCACTGTAGCACAATGCTGTCTAAGAATGAGTGACACACTGCTGTGAGGATTTTGAGGGGGAGATCACATTTAGATGGGGTCAAGGAGAGTTTGGTGAAGGACGTAACACCTGAGATGGGCTTAGAAAGATTATTTCAGTTAGATGTAAGAAAGGACATTTTTCAGGTAGAGAGACTAGCATAAGCATCAGTGTAGTGGGAAAGGTATGGATTTTGGAGCCAGACAGCTCTGGTTTCAAATCCCACTTTTCCAATTACTTGCTGAGTTGTTACTGTGAAAGAGCCACTTCACTTTTCTTACCATTTATAAAATACCTTTCAGAGTTTAATAAGAAAATAACAAGAAGTTCATCAGTAATAAAAATAGCTGATATTTATTGAGAGCTTATTATCTGTTAAATGCTTTACATGGATTATTAGTTTTAATTCTCACAACTGTCCTATAACGGTTACTATTATTACCTCCACTTACAGATGCGGATAACAAAACTTAGAGAGATGAAGTGACTTGTTGATGTCACACAGCTAGAAGACTGTGCAGCCATGGTATAAAAATAAACAAGGAGTGGGACTCTGGATCTGTATTTTTAGCCACTACATTAAAACTAAGTATTGAGAACAAATATATGTAAGCACTGAACACTTTAAAACATGATGGGCACTCAAAAAGGCAGTTACTACTGGTTTGCCCTCACGGTAAAAAGGAGTATTCAGGGAGTAGGACTTTTGGTTTGAGTGACAGAATATGTAGGGGAGTCATAAGAGAAGGTTGACAAAGTAGGTTGGGGTCTCACTTGAGGGCCTTCAATAGTGGATGGAGACATTTACATTAATTTGAACGGCAACAGAGGTGTTACTGAAGGTTTTTAAAGCAAGTAAGTGACACTACAGAGAAACCATTTATTGAGTATCTCCTTTGTGCACTAAAATTATCATCTCATTTACTTCAAACAACTACTTTGTATAGTAAGCATTATTTTCATTTTCTTTTTTTTTAAATTGTAAACTAACAATTTATAATTGGATAAACATATGGGGTACAAGGTGATGTTACGATTTATGAAGACAATGTGGGATAATTAAATCAAGCTAGTTAACACATCCATCGCCTCAAGTACTTATTATTTTTTGTGCTGAGAACGTTTGAAATTTACTCTTAGCAATTTTGAAAGGTACAATACACTATTAGTAACTCTATTCACCACCCTGTGACACAGATCTCAAAAGAAACTTAATCTTTTTGTCTGAGACTTTGTATCCTTTGTCTATCATCTCCCCATTCCCAGCCTCTGTAACCACTATTTTACTCTCTGCTTCTATGAATTTGTTTTAGATTCCACATAAAAGTGAGAACATGTTGTATTTGTCTTTCTGTGCCCGGCTTATTTCACTTAGCATAAAGTTCTCCAATTCCACCCATGTTATCACAAATGACAGAATTTCCTTCTTTTTAAAGGCTAAATAGCAGACCATTGTGTATGTATGCATTTTCTTTGTCCATTCATCTGTTCATGGACACTTAGGTTAATTCCATAACTTAGCTATTGTGAATAGTGCTGCAACAAACACAGAAGTGCAGACATCTCTTCGACAACTGACTTCAAATCTTTTGGGTAAATACCCAGAAGTGGGATTGCTGGGTCATTATTTGCATTTTCAAATGAGAAAACTACACCTCAGAGACTGAGCAGCTTATCCAAAGTCCATGGTTTTGACTCATCTTATGACACTGCCCACACTTTTTGGCTAATGATAACATTTGGACACAATTCCTGGGAGTTTAAGATTAGCAAGAAAACAATTAACTCAAGAAGCAATTAAAAATGGTGCATATGGCAGACTGAGAAGGTGTAGACTTAGAGAGTAAGACTGGAAAGCACTAGACTATAAATGAGGAAATAGCTTTTTATTTCTCTTATTTATCTCTGAGGTTCTGAGACACATGTATACCCGTCATAGATTAGAGGTGAAAAATTAGTTGAATTAATTAAATAGTGGGTAGCTAAAGCTACTCTACAAAGTTTTCTGGAGAAGGTCTTGAGTTGTATTTAGTGATACAAATGGTCCCCGATTTATGATGGTTTGACATAAGTTTTTTACTTTCCTTTCCTATGATGTGAAAGTGATACACATTCAGTAGAAACCATAATTTGGGTACCTGTACAAGCATTCTGCCCTTCATTTTCAGTAAAGTATCCAATAAATTACATGAGGTATTCAACATTTTATTATTAAATAGGCTTTGTGTTAGATGACATTGCCTAACTGTAGGCTGATATAAGTGTTCTGAGCATGTTTAAGGTAGGTTAGGCTCAAAAATAATGTTCAGTAAGTTAGGTATATTAAATGCACTTTTGACAATGATATTTTCAATTTACAAGCGGTAACCTAATCGTAACTAGAGAAGCATCTGTAATACTTAACACTGATATAATATTACAGTTTTAAAACCCTCACATGCATCATTTTAAAGAGAAATGTCATGGGAAAATAGAAAGAGGAAGGTTTTGGGGCGAGTTTTGAAATACAGATAGTTGTATGCATTTAATACAGAGGAAGGGGTAGAGGATACCAGATCATGATGGATGAGGGGTTGAATGAAGATCTAAGAGACAAGCATGGACAACAGTTTTGGAAAACTGTGGAGCTCTAAAGCTTTTAAGAAAGGAGCTTATTTTCCCCTCCTAAAGCTATGGCATTTGATTGATTGATTAATTTACTCTTTATCTCTCCCCACTAACTGGGTTACTCTGAAGAAAAGGGAGCTTTAGTTTTATAACCCTGCGAGGTATGATAGAGTTTGGATGTGTTATCCCCTCCAAAACTCATGTGGAAATCTGATCCCCAATGTGGCAATGCTGGAAGCTGTTTGAGTCATCGGGGTGGATCCCTCACGGATGGATTAATGCTCTCCCTGGGGGAGGAGGGGTAGTGAGTGAGTTCTCACTCTATTAGTTCCTGAGAGAGCTGGTTGTTTAAAAGACCCTAGCACTTCCTCTCTCTCTCTCTTGCTTCCTCTCACCATGTGATCTGCTTGTACCTGCTGGCTCCCTGCCACTTTCCACCATGAGTAGAAGCAGTCTGAGGCCCATGCCAGATGCAGCTGTCCCAGAATCGTAAGCCAAATAAACCTCTGTTCTTTATAAATTACCCAGTCTCACATATTTCTGTTATGGCAGCACAAAATGGACTAACACAAGGTAGATAGTAGAAAACATCTAGGCCTAAGAGTTTGACAAAGACATGTTCAGCCAGGTTCCTTTTCTTTTTCTCCACATTTCTACATTTGAAGTCCGAATCATGAAATACACTGATTACATAATTTAACATCTATAAAGGCAAATAGGAAATAGATATGGTTCCCCTCACTAGTGAGGAACAATATGCTATCAATCATACAAAAATTATAAGGATTTCACATAGATTTGGTGACCACATACCATGCAGGTTGCATGAAAAGGTTCTAATCCATAGAGTCAGTTGTGAAAAAAGCCAGGTAAACACTTAGGACACAAGGGTTGGAGCATATATCCTTGCAATAACAGCAAGAAGAGCTTCTATTGTGGTTGATTCACGATTGGGGGTTATGGAAAATATAAATATTATTTCAGGGTAGATTTAAAAATGTGGAATTAAAAATAAAAGTGTGGAATCATAAGGATTGAGGGGCATTTGGTCGAAAACAGAATGAACAGTGCTGAGGACTATGTACCAAGGTACTTCAAAAAGTTCATGAAAAAAATATAATTAAAAGATAATACAAAACTTTCCATAAACTTTTTGAAGTATTCTCATTTTATTAATGGTTTTCTTTACTTGGAGCTCAAACTATTGTGTGAGACTCAAATAATGAAACTCTCCTAACGTTAAAGGATGGGCAGAAATCATGAATCTTTGGGACTTCCGGTCAAGATGGCAGAATAGACGGTCCCCAGCATCACTCTCTCCCACAAATCAACCAATTTACAACTATAAAAATGTAACGTCAGCCAAACTGGAGCCACTGGAGCTCAGGTGAAGAGGAGAGACCTATGGAACTCATGAAGGCGGGAGAAACCACGAAGAGAGAAAGAAAAAACTGCTCTCAACGTTTTGGGCCGTAGCCACTTTAACGCTGGAGCACATGGAGCAGGAGCCGGCAGAAGCCGCAGCTGTGCCCTTTAGATGGAATTACTTGGAGGCAGAAGGGGAGAAGAGGACTTTGGTGGCCCCCAGGACAGCAAAACCACTAACAGGGTTCCTGTGGACCTACGCAGGAGTGAGGAGCCAGAACAGCTGAAAAAGGGGAACCACTCAGAGGCAGGTGAGTCATCACAGGGGACCAGCACATGGCCCGTCCCATGGGAAGTGTTTGGAGCACGGCGGTGGGGGAGACAGGCCCACCGGGAGAACACTGGGATACAGCAAAGACAGCTGATGCACCCCCTAGTCAGCACAGTACCACTCAGAGGAGACTGGTCGGAAATGCAGAATTGCATGGGGTGCAGTTTGATGAAAAGATTCAGGCCCAGATCAGAGTTTCTACACAACCCAGATGCACTGAGTATCAGGAGAGCCGAAAGTACCTATAAGGTCAACCATTAAACCCTGAGCTGCAGAAAATGTTTTCCCTAGGGAAACAGC